ATTGTACTCCAACATTCAGGTGGACCCCAGACCACACCCCATTCCTCGGGGACCCCAGACCTTAATGTCCACACCCAGGCTTGCCTGGGTCCCTTTGGAACCGCCTGCATTGCACAGCCCCAGGGGACCACAACCAGATCCTGCTCCTTTTGGGGGGCGCTTTACGTCCTTCCACCGCCACCCAGTAGGGACCCCAAGCTATGTCTGATACCTAGAAAGGGGTCTCTAAATATTTCCCACTCCCATTTGGAGACCCTTAACCTTTCCCCATGGTCCCCTGCGAGCAGCCTTACCCCCAACCTTTGGATGTTCCTCTCCCCCTCCCTTTGGTTCCCAGACCCTAGATGGGCTCTAGGAACCCCAGACCCAATAAGTCTCCCCTTAGACCTGCCCTATTGCCCTCTCCCAAATTCCTGGAACCCTAAGCCCTGCCCCCTGTTTGGAGGGCCCCTCCATAGCCCCTCCTTGAATTGCCCTGAAGCCTGTCTTCCCACCACACTCACCCTGGGGGTTCCTCCTTCTGGTGAACTTTGACCCCTGCAGATACAACCCCTTTCTCTCCAAACCCCACCTATGATCTCCAGCACCCAAGCACCATCCCTGTGGCCCCACATGAGGTGTGGGGGTCTGGGGCTGGGAAGGCAAATAAGAGAAGGAATAAGACAAGAAGATGGCTGAGATGGTCCAGAGGTGGCTCCAAGGGTGTACTGGAATTCCTTCCACCCTTAGCCTGATGGACATGTCCCGTCGCTATCCCCATTTTATGGATTAGCAAAATGGAGGTGAGGGAGGGACTTGGTCACCTGCCCAAGGTCATACAGAGAGTGTCAGTGGCACAAGGGGATGAGGTTGAAGGGGAAAGAAGGCGGGGAGCAGGCAACCTGGGCTGGGTAGGAGTCCGGAAAGGGGAGGGGAGGCAGAGATGATGATGGATACAGAGGGGGAGGAACAAAGAGCAGGAGAGCCAGGCTGAATCTCCCTGGCCGCTGTGGACCTGCCGCGCCCATTCCCAGCCACCTTCAGTGTCCACCACGACTAGGCTGAGCTACCGGGCGCCTGTGCACAGAGGCTCCGGGACCTTCACATGGCCAGCTCCTCCTTTCCATGCAGGTCAGCCCTCAGACGTGCTGCTAAGAGAGACCTTCTGTCTCCATTTCCCTTTTACACACACACCAATGCTGATGCCTGCAGATGAGTGTAAAACCCACATTAAAAATAATAAGAAAGGGATGGGCCCAGTGCAGTGACCTAGTGGCTATAGTCCTCGCCTTGCACGTGCCAGGATCCCATATGGGCGCCGGTTCTAATTCCAGAGGCCCCGCTTCCCATCCAGCTCCCTGCTTGTGGCCTGGGAAAGCAATTGAGGACGGCCCAAAGCCTTGGGGCCCTGCACCTGTGTGGGAGACCTGGAAGAGGCTCCAGGCTCCTGGCTTCGGATCAGAACAGCTCCGGCTGTTGTGGTCACTTGCAGAGTTAATCATTGGAGGGAAGATCTTCTTCTCTGTTTCTCCTCCTTTCTGTATATCTGCCTTTCCAATAAAAATAGATAAATGTTTTTAAAAAGGCTTGATGGAATGATGGTTGGATAGACACGAGATACAGCGAGAGCTATGGATGGTTCAATCCTGGAGGTAGTTACATGGTGTTCACTGGAAGACTATTTCAATCTCGCAGCGCATCTGAAAAATTTATAGTAAATGTTGGGGAGTGAGCCAGCAGATGGAAGATTTCTATCCTTCTCTCTGTGTAACTCTGCCTTTCAAAGAAAGGAATCTTTTTAAAAGGAGGCAGAGGGGGAGGGGAGGAAGGAGGCAGAGGCGGAGGGGAGGAAGAAAGCTCAGGCTGGTTCACTCCTCAAAGGTCCGCAGCAGGCCCGGCTGAGAGACCTCACCAGGAAGGTTCAGCTGCAGTACAGGTCTCCTACAGAGAGGCAGCAAAGGCGCAGCCACTTTGAGCCATCAGCTGCTGCCTCCAGGGGAGCTGGAATAGGAGTGGAGAATGGACCAGACACTCACCTTGGAGCACGAGAGTCCCAAACCGCATCTGAACCACCATGCCCAACGCCCACCCCTAAACTCCTTCTTGGGTGTGCCCCTGGAGAAATCTGAGGCAGCAAGGCCAACGTACGCAAAGGGGTATGCACAACTTTCCCTGTGTGTGGGGTGTCACTGGAAGGAAGGGTCAGGAAGCTAGGGCAATGGGCCCAAGTAGTATGACTGTTCCCATAGGAATTTAACCTCAATACAGACCCAGGGCCAATCTTGGGTGCCTACTGTTCAGGCCCCACCTCCAAGCAGATGCCCCACCCCTGTCTTTGGGGTTCCACTCCAAGTCCTAAGGGTCATTGTTTAGCCTGTGTGTAGGGGCCATGCAACAGTGTCTAATAAAGGCACGGCACAATGGCTCACTTAGCAATTCCCTCTCTTCCCCTGCTTCTAGCGCTGGAAGCCCATAGAGGCACAGGTTTGTAAACCGCCTGCTCCACTTGCCATCCAGCCCCCTGCTTGTGGCCTGACAAAGCAGTGGTCAAGGCCTGGAGACCCCACAGCCAGAAGAGGCTCCTGGTTTCAGATCGGCTCAATTCCGGCCAGTGGGACTACTCGGGGAGTGAACCAACAGATGGAAGATCTTTTCTCTGTCTCTCCTTATTTCTGTAAATCTGCCTTTCCAAGAAAAAAAAGAAAAGAAAAGAAAAAGTCTTTCTAAAAAGCGTCTAGGGCATACGAGGCTAATGTCCTTGCCTTGAAAGCGCCAGGATCCCATATGGGCGCCGGTTCTACCCGGCAGCCCCACTTCCCTTCCAGCTCCCTGCCTGTGGTCCGGGAAAGCAGTCGAGGACGGCCCAACGCCTTGGGACCCTGCACCCGCGTGGGAGACCTGGAGAAGTTCCTGGCTCCTGGCTTCGGATTGGCACAGCACTGGCCGTTGTGGTCACTTGGGGAGTGAATCATCGCACAGCTCTTCCTCTCTGTTTTTCCTCCTCTCTGTATATCTGACTTTGTAATAAAAATAAAATCTTTAAAAAAGAATAAATAAAAAGTGTCTAAAACTCGGAAGTCCTCAATCTTGGCTCCGCCCACAATACTAAGCCCCACCCCTACCCTGACTCCGCCCCTCCACCTGCAGGCTGAGACTCCAGAAAGGGCTCTTCAAACTTGGGATGCTTCTTCTGCTTTCAGCTCTGCCCCTCTAACAAGCCAAGGTCACGTAGACCACGGGAAGTCCCGCAGGCACGGTCCAGGGCTCGGATGCCCGCACCAAAGAGCCCGCACGTGTAGGAGCTTCGAGGACAGGTTGGTAGAAATGGCGCCCATCGGACTCTGTCCCACCTCAAAGCCAAGCCCCAGGCCATGACTCTTCATTGGACACTCAGCTCTGTTTTGGCCTCTCGGATTGGTTCTTCCACAATTCCCTTAGCCATAGCCACTCTGAGAGTGCCCTTCTGAGTCACTCTCTCTGATTGGTACCTGTTTTTCAAACGCTTTGCTCCTGATTGGGCAAATCTTTGTATATGCCTGTTTCTGATTGGATTGCTTGCAATCAGCCCAGACACAAGCAAGTTCAAGCATGGGGGGTGGGGGCGTTCCCTAAATCTCTTGCCTGAAAGAGGGCGTGGCTGTGGATCACAGCATAGCCGGAAGTTGGAGTTGTACCTGTGCCTCCTACTTGTGGCGTCAGGCACCTGTTTTCTTTTCTTTAATTTCTGAGCCTCAGTTTAATCTTTAAGTCGTGAATATTCAGGGAAGAGTGTAAGGACTGGATGAGTGAAGACCTATAGAATGCTTACGGAAGTGCACACAGGAAGCCCTCACCATCTGCCTCCCTGTCCATCCCCAGCCGTCATGGAACTGGGACCTTGACCAGAGCAAAAGAGAAACGGGGAGGAGGAGGGGTGTAGCAGGAAGGATAGGAAGACCCCACCCCTGCCCCTAGAATATTGAGGGCGGTAGGATTTCTCCATGACCCAGTGGAGAGTGATGTTAACCCCTCCATGCAGAGGTTGGTCCTGACCGGGAACAAGAGAATAGATGTTGGGTGGCAGGCTGTGTGAAGGGATCAAATATTGTGGCTAAGTGGGGCCGGGGGGAGTTGGAACAAGGCTTTGGGGTCCTCCCCAGGCCGACCAAATTGGAGGTGTGCCAGCATCAGTTCAAGGTCACTGTGTCATTGCTCCCATAGCAACAGCTGCCTCTTGGCAAGGAACCTGGAAAGGGGAGTTGTGGGGAGAAAGTTCTCAGGTGCCCCTACTGCAGGGGCAGGAGTAACCGTTGGCATGGAGGAGAGAGAGGCAGAAGGCCCGTGATCCAAGTCTGGGACCATGTCTTCTCAGAGGCCGGGCCTCACAGTGGGTGCTCAGTCAATGCCCCTCCCAGACAGAGATGGAGGCCTTGGTGGAGTGCAATACCCAGAGATGCCAGCAGAGAGAAGAATCTTCCAAGAGGGCTGAGGGCAGCCTTGCCTGCTTTCTCAATCCCTCCAGGGGACCACTGGGAAACCCTAGATCATCTTCACCTGCAGAAAGCCTGGGACCCTGTGTGGGGGGACATCTCTGTGACCCTCCCCCCCCCAACCATCCACACGCAGCAACTCCTATGCCCAAGAAGCAGGCGTGGGTGCTGCTTTGACAACTTTTGCTCTTTAACTATCTCGCTCCTGAGGGTTCAGCTCAGAGAGGTAGCATTCCAGGCCAGCCAGTGTCTACCAGCCTCCAGAACTGGGTGGAGGATGAGGGGGACAAGGAAGAAAAGCAGACAGGCTTGACCCTGGGGTGCCCTGGTTCCCTTCAGCAGTGACCCCTCCGCAGATTCAGGCATCCCCTCCAGGAGACCCCAGCCTCCCCACCCACCACCACACCCGTGCCAACAGGTGCTTCTCCCTTCCGCCCGGCACCCAGCTTGCGTTCCACTGGCTCTGCCCGCCCCCTGCCGGCTGCAGCCAGGACTGCAGGAACTGCCTCCTCGACGGGCAGAAAACCGCCAGGAGGCCAGTAGGTGGTGAGCTCCCTCTGAGTTTTTAATTTATTTAAGGTCTCAGCTTTTTCTCGTGCTGGTGCGGGAGGGGGGATGGATCCCCAGTCCCCAGCCCCTTGGAGAATCGGACGTCAGCAATCCAAGCCAGATCGGAAGAGTCAACGAAAGAAAGCCAGCTTCTCTCGGAGCCAGGCCTCGGTGAGGTCTTCGGTGGTGCGGATTTCAAACACCTGAGAACAAATCCGGCTGTGAGGACCTCTGACCCCTCCTCCTGCAGCTCCCAGGTCCCAGTCCCTCCTCCCTCCCACTCCAGAGCCTGCACCCCGACCTTCGTGAGCTCGGCCGTCTGCACCAGCCTGTTTTTACTACCAGCGTACATCATCTGCTGCTCGGGCTTGCAGCCTGCGTGGAGAAGCAGAAGGGTGAGCCACAGAGGAGGACCCAGGTTCTAGAAAACGTAGGTCACGTTCCTTGGGCCCAGCCGATTTCCTGAGGGTCTCAGAAACCTTCTGGGGTGGGGGCGGGGTGGGGGGGGGCTGGAGGCTGTGCTCGAGGGTTTCTGGATTGTTTCTGGTTGTTTTAAGTGATTCTGAGGCTCTCAGGATGACTTAAGAGCCAGACAGGAATTCTCTGGGCCCTCAGCAGGAAGACAGCTGGGGGTCCTGGAGGGCACGGAACCAACCCACCCTCCACCTCCCCGCCTTCACCCTTCCACGCTCCCCCAGACACACGCGGGCTGTCACAATCCCATTCTAATGCAGGGCCGGCCGACCCGGGTGCAGGCACGCATCCACACGCATGCGCACACCTGCACTGCCGTGCACCTGCCTCCCTCCACCCCACACATCATCCAAGAGGCGAGATGAGCTGTGTCTCACCTACAGGGCTGGAAAAGATGAAACACAGAGGGTAAGACACTCGGCCGTCCGCGTGCAGGTATTTATAGCTGTAAACCACGAACCTGCAGCAGCGAGAGGGAGTTCAAGCTGGGGACATTGGCCAGGGAGCCCAAGGCCACACCGCCATCATCTGTGTCCGCATGCCTGCCATCGTCACAGGGTCTGGGAACCTGGCATTCCTGTCCACGTCCCAGGCTGGTGAGCTCAAAGCTGACAGTAAGTGCTGAGCTGCCTCCCCAGGTCTCTGTGGAGTGGGAGACTGAGGCCCAGGGCCACTTGTGCCAAGGTCGGAGAGAGCAGAGAGCTGGAGCCAGGAAGTGCTCCATGTCAGGTCCGTGTACTAGAACCTGGGCTGTGACCAGCACTGGATACAGGATGCACCAAATCGAGTAAAAAAAGAAAAAAAAAAAGGAATATAGGAGATCTCTTGTTCACAAAAGAGTTTTTCCCCCCCTTTTCTTAGTAGTCTCCCTCTACAATAATTATGATCTATTACTTTAAGATTTTAAAAAAGGGGCTGGCGCGGTATCCTAGCAGCTAAAGTCCTCACCTTTTTGTTTTGTTTTGTTTTGTTTAAGAAAGTCAAATATACAGAGAGGAAGATCTTCTGTCCTCTGATTCACTCCCCAAGTGGCCACAATAGCCAGAGCTGAGCTGATCAAAAGCCAGGAGCCCGAAGCCTCCTCTGGGTCTCCCACTCGGGTGCAGGGTCCCAAAGCTTTGGGCCGTCCTCGACTGCCTCAACTAGGCTACAGTGACGGGCCCTAAAGTGCTCGCTTTCCACGCTCCAGGATCCCATATGGGTGCCCAGTTTGTTTCTCAGCTGCTCCTCTTCCCATCAGCTCCCTGCTTGTGGCCTGGGAAAGCAGTCGAGGACGGCCCAAAGCCCAAAGCCTTGGGACCCTGCACCTGTGTGGGAGACCCGGAAGCGGCGCCTGGCTTTGGATCGGCTCAGCTCTAGCTGTTGCGGGCAGTTGGTGGGTGAATCAGCAGACGGTAGATCTTCCTCTCTGCTTCTCCTCCTCCCTATATATACCTGACTTTACAATAAAAGTAAATAAATCTTTAAAAAAAAATTACAGCGAGAGGGCGAGAGAGATCTTCCATCTATTGGTCCACTCCTCACGTGGCCACCGAGGCTGAGCCAGACCAGAGCAGGAGCCTGGAGCGTCTCCCGGATCTCCTACATGGGCACAGGGGTCTGAGGACGTGGGCCATTTTTCAGTGCTTCCCTGAGTGTGTTAGCAAGAGGCTCGATCAGAAGTGGAGCAACGGGACTCAAACCGGCACCTGTATGGGATGGCAGCACTACAGGAAACAGCTGAATCCATGACAACACAATGCCAGCCTCCATCGTGTTCCTCTAAAACGTGCTATTTAAGGGGACAGATATTTGGCACAGCAGTTAAGATGCACCTTCTGGGACTGGCGAATTGCCATGTAGGCTAAGCTTCTGGATATAGCACTGGCATTCCAATGGATGGCAGTTTGAATCCTGGCCATTCCCTTCCAAATTAGCTGTTTGTGGCCTGGGAGAGCACCAGAGGATGGCCCAAAGCCTGAGGCCCCTGCACCCACCCACATGGGAGACCCAGAAGAAGCTCCTGCCCCTGGCTTCGGATAGGCGCAGCTCCAGCCATTGTGGCTCTGTGAGAAGTGAACCAGCTAATGGAAGATCTTTCTGTCTCTCCTACTCTCTGTAAATCTGCCTCCCCATAAAAATAAATAAATCTTAGCAAATGTAAATTTGAAAAATCATGTAAAAACACATTACTATGACAACAGAAAGTTCTAGACTTTGAACTCTAGGCTTCAAATAGAGATTCCGAGCCCGTGAATAGGACTGGAAGTCAAGCACTTCCCCGATGCCTAGTTCCCTCATGGCCCGTCTCCCCACAGCCCGGCCCTCCCCACCAGCCCTCCACCCCGAGTACCTGGGCTGTCTCTCTGGCAACTCCATTTTGAGTTCCTCTGGGGAGATGTTCTGGGGCAAGGATGTCAGAGAGGCAGGAAGGGGAATGATGGTTGTGAAATAAGCAGAGACGCCATTTTCAGAAAGGCCTGCGAGTGAAGTCACTGATTCTCCCATCAGCCCACGGAGCGGGACCCCTTAGCATCCCCAACTTTCCCAGTGTTGCACGGGTGGCAGGCAGAGATCTCAGATTTACCTGGGGTCAAGCTGTAACTCCTTGACTAACACTTCCTGTCAGAGGGACCCCTTCTCTGTCCCAGCAGCCCCAGACCCGTGTCCACGTGACGCCAGGCGCTGGGGAGGGCCACCCTTGAATGGAGGGCTTCTGCAGGCTTTTGGCCGACTTCTCTGCTCCCACCATCCTCACGTCACTTTACCAAGGCCACAGTCTGAGCTAGGCCTTGTTCTCTGCACTCTCCAAGGCTCACGACACTGGCTCTGCACACAGCCCCGTAAAGGGGGCCCCATGTTCCTCCCACTTCCCCAATGAGGAAACAGAGACACAAACAGGTAATATCTACTGCCCAGGGTCACAGCCGAACTGGAACGTCACCTCCAGGTCCCTGTGGCCTTCAGTCCCACGGGTCCCTCCCCTGGTCCTGTCCCCCCTCCAGCCCCTCACCTGAAACTCCTCCTCCAGCACCACCATCTGCCGGTCTCTGTCCACCTTCACTGGGGGGAGCAGGGAGGGCACACAGGAGGCAGTCAGGTGCCCACCCTCCCTGCCAGCCCCCACTCTCCCATCAGGGAAGGGAGAGGCCACTCACTGATGATGGCTGCGTTGTCCGTCTCTTTTCGGAAGCGGAATTTCCTCAGCTTTTCCTTAAGCTCTGGGTCCACTTCGCACACCACCAGGGAGTCAGACTGCCAGGGACCCCGCAGGAGGTCAGCTGGTCTGGTCTCAGCCTTGCGGCCCCATCCCTTCACCCCAAACTTCCATGGTGCACGAAGGCAGAGGGGAGGGCCCGCCAGCCAGCCCAGCTGAGGCTTTGAGGAAATCAGGGAAACCCTTGGGACAGAGGCTATGCTAGCCAGGCCAGGAGCAAAGCAAGACTTAGACCATTCAACATGCTGCCCACCCCACCCCCACCCTCTCCAGTTGATACCTTGAGCCAACACGCCAGGTGGCCCCAGGAGCCCTACTAGCCTGGATCAAAGCCAAAACCACCATCCCTCTTGGGTCTCTGTCCAGCACAGGACCTCCATTCCCCAGCAGACCTTCACCCGACTGCCTTCCCAGCCCCCCGCCTTTCCCGTGGGATTCCTCGCCTCCTGACCATGGCTTTTCTGTCCAGAGGCCTCCTCTGCTCTCAGTTCCTTCGCCTCTGGGGGGTGGGACCGGATTGGGGCTGCAGGGGACGGGCTATGGGGGCAGGGGGAAGTTTGCATCCAACACCACATCCTGTTTATGCCCCTTCCGGGACAACTGTCACGGAGGGCTCCTCCCCTCCTTCCTTCCTCCCCCACCCATCTGCCAGTACCTGCCAGGCTCAGCAGCCAGGCTCAGCTCTGCTTCTCCAAGGTGCGTAGGTAGCCTCACGCCTCTCCTGGCCCGGAGGCTGTGTCCAAAAGGCGGCCCATCAGAGGCAAAAGCTCTTCATGCTTGTCCTCCAGGAAATCTTCTTACACTTGCCTGCTGGTGAGTCCTTAACTCCCAGAGCTGGACAAGGACAGCATGGAGGCCTGTGCTAGGCAGTCAGCCGTCCATGATGGTGATGGAGCAACTAGAGGGCCACCGCTGCACAGCCTGGGTGACGGTAATGTCTCCCTCGTGGGCCTCACCAGGGCCTGGGAGTTCAAGAGCAAGGCTTTGTCTCCCCCAGTCCCACCCCCTGAAATTACAGCACTGGATAATGTCTGCTACTTACACACATACATTTAAAAAAAAACATCAATATCATATCCTGTCACATACATAAAGGAGAAATAATAAAAGCCAATCGAATTTATCAGAAAACACATCGGATTTAAGGGGGAAGTGGTCAGCCAACAAAAGACCAGTTTTCCGGGACCTCAGCCTATTTGAGGGCTAGCCTTGCTGGTTCCCTTTCTCCCGCTGGATCCCATCCCCCAGCAGCTCAAGGACCCCCCTGCAGCCGCCCTCACCCCTCCCTCAGTGACCTTCGCACACGGAGCCTCTCCCCCAGCTGACACATGGCATCATTTCCTGAGCTAAAACCTGCAAGCCACCTCCTTCACTTTTCAGCAAAATGTCTTTGAAAGAATCCTCCACACGGGCTGCACCAGCTTATCTTCCCAATTGGTCTCTCTCTTTTTAAAAAATTTACCTCTATTTTTTTAAAAATACATTTTTTTAGGATTTTTTTTTTTTATTGGAAAGTCAGATATGCAGAGGAAGAGAGACAGAGAGGAAGATTTTCTGTCTGTTGATGCACTCTCCAAGCCACTGCAACAGCTGGAGCTGAGCCGATCTGAGCCAATCTGAAGCCAGGAACCCAGAGCCTCTTTTGGGTCTCTTGCGTGGGCACAAGGTCCCAAGGCCTTGGGCCATCCTCAACTGCTTTCCCAGGCCACAAGCAGGGGGCTGGATGGGAAGTGGGGCCGCCTGGATTAGAACTGGCACCCATAAGAGATCCCTGAAGTCAGGGCTGCTTCATAGGTTGCCTTCATTTCTAGCACTCTAGGCAAAGCCTGGCACCTGTTGTTACTTAAGGAATATTAATGACCGAACCAGCATTCATCAAACACAGTGTGCTATGTGAAAGTTGGTGCTGAGTGTAGGAGGTGGGGAATGGGGTTGGGGATGGTGGAAATGGCCTTCCTCACAGCAAGAAGAGCCAGGGTTCTCCTCCTCACCCCTCCAGCTCCACATCACCTCAGCCTTCCTGGAGAGAATCCGTTTTTTGGCTGGAACCTTGCATATCCCCACCTGGCCTTCGTCTCCCCTCCCCCAGTAGGCCACTAACTTCCACACCTTCAGTTACCAGCTTGGATAGTCTCACAACCCTGCCTCCAGCCTCCCTTAGGCTACACAGCCCCCTGGGCTTCCAACACTGGGCAAGGCACCTGCCCCAACGGCTTCTCTGAGACCCCACCCTCCAGCCAGTCTGGTCCTGCACACTCAACTTTCTGGGTGTCCCCCCGCCCAATTCTGGTCCTAGTGCAATCGCTCCTCTCTCCTCCACCCACCCCTCAGGTGTCTCCTTGCACTGTCTGCTCCTAGATTCACGTCTTCCTCCACAGATCTGCCCTCCATTAGGTAAGCCAAAGCCATCTTTCCCAAACTCCAACTCACCGTGACCCTCCCCAGCTTGAAGCTACCTCAGGACAAGTCCAAACTCTCTCAAAAGTGGCCAAACTTCTGGCTCCTGTCTCACCACCACTCCCTGTCTTGAACTCCACACCCCACCCTGACTGCATTTCTTCGAGTTCCAGGAACCAGCCCTGCCTGTATCGGTCGCTCTCTGGTCAGTGCCCTCTCATCCGGGACAGTATGTAGAAGAACCAGATTGCCACAGAAGCCCGAGTAACAACTCCCACGGCTTGAGGCCTCCTGGGTGCCAAGCGCTCGCCAGGCATTCCGTACGAAAGGGGTAGCTCTTGCCTCACTCTAGCCATGTGACAGAGGCTCGGGGAGAGGCTGCTGAGATCCCCAAGATTCCTGGAGCCAGGAATTCAGCCTGGCCCCCGGAGTCATTGGCGGGGGGAGCCCACAGGGGTCAGATGCCTGAGGCGGGGTGTGTCGGGAGGTCTGGGAAGAGAGACTACCCCCGAACGCCAGAATAGGAATTGTGACTTGGCGCGTGGCCGCTGAGGTAAACCGGCGCGAGACTGCCCCCTGCGGGCCTGGAGGCCCAATCCCTGTCTCCGTCGGGCCCGTTGCCATTGGCAACGCTGGCGCGCCCCTCCCCTTCCCCGCCTCGCCAGCCTCGAGCCTCCAGGGCCTGGCCGCCTGCCCGTCACCCCTCGCGTTCGACCAATCCCAGGGAGGAGGGGGCGGGCCTCTCGGACCTCGTTCCAGCCCCATTTCTCTCCTCCCTACCAGGACCCCGCCTTTCTCGGAGCACACCTCCCGCCCTTCGGGCTGCCCTCGCCACTGGTTGGCTGACATGCTGTTCGTCATCTGGGCGTCAGCTAATGGCAGCGCGCGGCGGCCTCGTCGGGGCGGGGTCAGGGGCGGTGACGCACGGCGCGGTGACGCAGCGCGACGGCGGCGGCGGCGGCGGCGGTGGTGGTCGGTGCGGGAGGAGGAGGGAGGGGAGCTCGCGGGCCGCAGAGGGGGCGACGGCGGCGGCGGCAGTGCCCTGAGGAGGCCCGAGCGGCGGCGGCGGCGGAGGAGGAGGCCGAGGCCGAGGCGGTGAGTTCTCAGGCCAGGCCAGGCGAGCGCGGGGCGGTGGCGGGTCGGGGCGCGCGGGGCTCCCCTCCGGGCGACCCAGGCCGCGCGGCGGCCCCGCCCCCTCAGGGACCCCGAGCCGCGGGGCGGCGGTGGCGGCGGTGGCGGCGGCGGGACCCAGCACGCGGGCCTCGGGTGGGGAGGCCGAGGCCGTCAGAGGAGCCCTGCCGCCGTGGCCGAGGCTGCCTCCTCCCAGGCCTCGTCAGATCGCTTCCCTCGGAGAGCCTGCTCACCTCGGGGTGGGGGCGGTGGGATGGCCGAGGGGCCCCGGGAGACCTGGCTCCTGACCTTCCAGACCTTCCTTGTGCGCCGTCAGCCTCTGACCGTAGCCCTCCACCCTCAGCACCCCATCTTCCAGCCTCTCCGCGTAGCACCCCCTCCCCAGCGCCCCGGCTTCCAGCCTCTCCCCGTAGCCCCCACCCCGGCGCCCCATCTTCCAGCCTCTGGTTGTAGCCGTCCCCCCTTACCAGTGCCCTATCTTACAGCCCCTGCCCGTAGCCCCCCACCCCAGCGCCCCAGCTTCCAGCCTCTCCCCGTAGCACCCCCTCCCCAGCGCCCTATAGCCCCCACCCAGCGCCCATCTTCCAGCCTCTCCCCACAGCCCCCCTCCCCAGCGCCCCATCTTTTCCCCAGTAGGCAGTGGTGTCGCAGCTGAGGCCACCCTGCCTCTCAGCTCCACAGTCACCTCGCTGTGTCTCCAGGGGACTGGCCTCTCTGAAAGGCCCGCGGCAGCCTCCATCAGGGGGAGACTCCCCCCCCCAAAAAAAAATCCCCTTCAGAACCCCGGACATTCCAGAATCCCAGCCGTCTCCACCGCCCACCCCCCACACTGACTTAACCCAAGAATTTTTGCCACCTACCTACCCCTCCCATTCCAGAAATCTGGCAGCTTCTGCCTCATAGCCCCCCCCCAAATACTTGAGATCTTGTTCATGGATGTTTGAACATCCTCCCCTGGAGATCCTCCCCCACCACACACACACCCCAAAATTTTTTTCCTCAGAGACCCTGAAAAGCCCCCAGGTTCCGAAGTCACCCCATCCCTGCCCTAATGCAGTTGCCTCGCACTACCACGCCCCCAGTTACCAATCCCTGCCTCTTCCAGATCTTGCCCATCCTGGAATATTTTGGAGATCACTCTCATGGACCTCCACTTTTTTTTCCCTTGATATATCTTTACCTTAAAATCTCCAGAAGAGTTTTCTCCCATATTCCAAAATCCTCTTCCCAAACCCCTTACGTGTATTCCCAGGTCCTTGCCAGTAACCCACACCACATGTTCCAGGAATTATTTCAGGATTCCAGGCAGTTCCTTCATAATTTCTGTCATCCTCTCAAGAACCCTTGTTAGATAACCTTTCAAAATCTGCCCTGCATCAGCCTACTTGAAATTCCTCAGGAGCCTCCCCACAGCCCCCTGGACACCCCAAGATCTTCCTGATCCCTCAGAGATGGGGTTTTAGGATTGCTCCCCCTTAACTTTCTCAAGGGCCCCAGCAGCCGCCCTCAAGGCTTCTGCTCTGGGCCCTGGAAACCCCTCCCAGAGGTCACCCCCCCCATGACTGCTCAGAGACCTGCCTTACTGACAGAGTTTCTGGAGAGTTCTCCCACGGACTCCCTTAAACCCTCTGGAGAAATGTCCCGGTCCCTTCCCTGCAGTGACTCTGTACCCTGCTGCGCCCGGCCCCTGGGGGAGATCCCCATCTCCCTCGTGGACCTCCCTCAGAGATGGCACCTGAGCTGAGGCTCCTCTGCCACCTGCCCCGCTCCCGCAGCCTTCCCCCAGACACTCAGCAATTTCCCCTCAGCTGCCCTGCATCTGCCACCTGCCCCTGGTGCCTCCTGAGACTTGTGTGCCCAGAGTCTCTGTAGGCCCCTGTTGGAGGTGCCCCTTGGGAATCCCCTTGCCCTTGGGTCCTCATTCTCCTTCCTCCAGAATTGCCTCAGCGCCTTCCTGGGCCTGCCCTGCAGGGGCCGCCACATCTTCCACACTCCGCCTGTCTGCCTTGAAAGGCCCCCCGGGGACACTGCCACCCCCCCATCCCGCATGAACACCTTCCTCTCCATCCTTCGGAGGTGGTGGGTCCCTCGGCCCCCCTTGCTCTGAGGCTTCCTGACCACTCTCCCCACTGCCTTCTGCCTCTTTCCCTTTGGGGGCTTCCTGGCAAAGTGGTTCCTTCCCTGTGGCAGCAGTTCTGTACGTGTGGTCCCAGGAGCAGCAATAGCAGTATCACTAGAAATGCAGATTCCTGGGTCCATGCAGACCAGGAGTCGGAGACCCAGGGGTTGGGCCCAGCTTGGATTCTGTTGCATGCTCAAGTTTGAGAGCCCCCGCGCAGCAGGAATTCCATTTCCCTGCAAAAAGTCACTTGAAAGCTGTCTTGGTGTGCACCTGGACCCCACTGCACCCCATGTTTTCCTGGAGTTCCTTTGGCAGATCCTCCTTCTCCAGGAGGATCCCTACCCCTACTTGAAAAGGCTCTTGATGTCCCCACAGGGTCATCCACCCTCTGAGTAACGAGTTCAGACATGAGCTTGCAGAAGTTCTCCAGCACTTTCTCCTCCAGCTCGCCCTGCAGCCCACCTTCAGCCTCATGTCTCTGCTCCCACTCCTCTCTTCATGCAGCCCTTTCCACGGTGGCGCCCTCTCCTCGAGGCACCCTCAGGTCTCTGCCTTCTGACCTTCAGCTTCTGAGTCCTCTGTTGTGCCTCCTAGAGCGCTACTTGGCTAGTTGGATGTGCTTGTCCAGCCAGTCGCCCTGGGCTGGGAGCTCTGGAAGCACAGGGATGTCTTGTCCCTCTCTGAATCCTGCAGTGGGTAGAGGGCGCTTTCCCTCTGCACGTTTTGGGCAGTCTGTGGAGAAGGAACACATCTTTCTCCTGCATGTGACCAAAATCTCCAGGTGCCTCAGCTGTCTCCCCACGTCAGGCTTTGCGCACACACTGCTTGCTTCTCTTTGCCCAGCCCACCTTGTCCTGACCGTGGCACATTCCTCTGTGCTATCTCCTGACTCTTGAGTGACCAGGGCCAAGTCTTGTTCTTGAGGACCCGTCTCCACCCCGTCCTGGTTGTCCTCCCCCCACCCCCTTAGCCTCTGTAAGTCTGGGGCCTCCGCAGGACTCCACTTTCTCCAGGGCTTTCTCTTCTTTAGGGCTGAGAAGAACAAACGGGTCCCACTACATGCTGCTGCCAGGGAGCTGACAGTCAGGAGAGGACATAGGAAGGACGGGAGGTCCCAGCTAGGTGCTGTGGAAGCTTAGCACTAAGAGGGAGCCCCTTTTTTTGGAAAAACTTCTTGGGAAAGGTGGCATTTGCACTGTTTGGCCAGCATTTCCACAGGTGCTTCCTGTGCAGGCGAACAGCTTAGCAGCAGGTTTGTTCGCCTTACCCATCGTACCATTCCCCCTCCCCCGGCGGACAGAGAGGCAAAGGATCTTTCTCTCTCTGTCTCGCTCTCTTGCATTTGCAAGGCCTTGGCCAGTTGCACTCTAGTCACCCACAGAGGGATGACCCTGACTGCTGTTAGGGAATGCTCACTGTTGGCCAGCCACTGTTCAAGTGCTTGGCTTCTGCTGTCTCAGAGTCCAGGAACCCCAGGAGGTAGGTAAACGAGTGTTGTCCTCATCTTCCACAGGTGGACCCAACGGAAGGCCTGTTTTAAGGTGATGCTGCCTCTGTCATGCGGTCGGAGGGTTCCCTGTCATGGAGGGCTGGGTGCAGGGCGGCGTGAAGTGCCGCTATCAGATTTTCACCCTCTTCCACCAGAGTGGGTTGGCAGCCCACAGCAGTACTTCCCGGTTTTGTGACTGAGGACAAGTTACTTGACTTTGCCAGAACTTAGCTTTCCACAGCTAAAAAATGAAGGTAATGATGATATTGTTTTTCATAGAATTGTTAGAAAGATTAGATAAAGTAATACACATAAAATACTTAGACTAGTATAGTGCTTTGCACATACATGCTCAGTGTTAGCAAAGGGTCATGTTGGCTAGGACTCTTAATGCCGTAAGTGACAAAACATTGGCTCAATGTGGCTTAATCAGAAAGGGAATTAATTGGTTCTTGTTACTGAAAAGTCCATAGCTGGGATGATTTCAGACTTGGCTGGATCCAGGAGTACAAATAACATTCTCAGCTGTCTCTTCTCGTTTTTCTGCTGATCGCTTCCTCCTTGACCTTTCTGCCTTGTGGTGACAGAGAGGGCCCTCCACAGCTCCAGGTTTGTTTTGTTTTAAATTTGTTTCAAAGGGAGAGTCCAAACCATGCACTGGTTCAGTCCCCAAATGGCTGCAAAGGCCAGAGGTTGGCTGGCTTGAAGCCACATGGCTGCAGGGGCCCAAGCGCTTGGACCATTTCCGCTGTTTTCCCAGGCACACTAACAGGGAGCTGGATTAGAAGTGGGGCAGCCAGGACATAAACTGGCACTCATGTGGGTTGCTCATGTTGTAGTCAGTAGCTTTATCCACTACAATGCAACATGGGTCCCAGTAACTCCAGGTTGAAGGCCTAGCACTTAGTGGCTGCAGAGGAAAGAGAATGGTTCCTTTGCTGAGACTTCCCATCTGGAGTCGAGATCCTGAGATGTGCTCTGAACTCTGGGTGCTGAGCTCCATCTTCTTGTTAAGCCAGAGAGAACTGAGTTCTGCCATGTGACCTGTCTGCCAGTTGATGCTCTGCCTGACCTAAGTGGACCTTCCTTTGGGGACTCACTGGGAGAGGCAGGGTGAGATGGTCAACTGGGAGTGGTGTTGGCTTCAAGGCAGTGGAATCTGGGAGTACGGATGTTTGGTCCCCTCACCTCAGTTTTGGATGTCAAGGCCTTGGAACTTTTTGTTTTGTTTTAAAGATTTATTTATTTTTATTGCAGAGTCAGATATATAGAGAGAGGGGAAGAGACAGAGAGAAATACCTTTCGTCCAATGATTCACTCCCCAAATGACCGCAACGGCTGGTGCTGAGCCAA